GCCCATGCTGCACCTACTGACACTCCTACTACGTGTTGTGTTGCTTCAATGGCTATACTCCTGCTGCTCCTACTCCTCCCGCCCCCCTTCTACCATTCCCAGTCCCGGCCTAGGCCCCACTGTCCCAAATAATAGTATAATCCTCATTTTAAGAACCCCCGAAAATTCCAAAAGGTACCCCTAATCTCCGGAACATTTTCCGCAGCCAAGGAACTCGAGGCACCCCCGCAAACGCACAGTTGGAGGCAGCACAGACGAGCTGCTTCTTCGACTCCCAGGCTATGCATTCTGGTAGCAAGCAGGGTTTAGGGTTTAGGAATTTGGCGCAGGCAGTGACAGGTACCGTAGGGTCCCAGTGATTAGCAATGTTATTTCAATTTGAGTCACCTTATGCCATCGCTATACAAGGACTCTTTGGTAGCTGTTTGGGCTTTTGTGTCAAGCTTACAATAAGCCAATGCAGGGCTGAGACCGGTGGGTAGGATTTGGGGTGTGCAGCATCGAGTTAAGGGTGTTTGCCTGCCGTATTTGCTCAGGTTTCGGGTTTGACCACGGCTGAATTGTGATGAAGATACTGTTACTAGGTATGATCAAGCAGGCAGAGAGGAAATGCGATTACGCCGGTAGGAGCTTTCGCGTCAACATTTGCGGTTTGTATGTCATATGAGCATAAGAGCGTTAGGTTATGCCCATGACGTGAAGTCGGCGACGGCTCAACCCGTTTTCCCAAGCAGCTCTGCCCCCACCTGATGTTTTTGCCTTGCAGCACAGAGCCCTGCCAGAAGAGCTAGCAAAGCCTCGTGACCTTGTGAGCACCATTTGACCGATTCAGCCTCAAAAGTCCTCATCGCATTAAACAGTTTTGTCAGCTGTTTTTGGCAAGTCTATAAGGAGAAAACAGCTAAAGGAAAAACTCTGAGCACCTGCACTTCCTGTGAACTCCCATGGCTACAGTCTTCTTCGGAATATCTTTGTGCGGTTTAAGCTGGTTAGGTCCACATGTACACCCTGCAGAACATTCATGCCATTTGTCTTTTGGGTACTAGACCCACCCTAAGGGTCCGAGTACACAATAATCATATACATACCCCAAACCTATACTGTAATTTCTATTGCTGTACCCTAAACCCAAGTACCTAATTATTGGGTACATGGACCCTCTGGGCCACTCATTCAAAGTTGGATAACACTTGCAATCTAACCATGTAGAGCCCTTAGAATGTCTCCTATTATGGATTGTCAATGGATGGGGGCAGGACCCAATTTGTCTTGTTCGCGGGGGACCATAGAAAAAGCCGCTACGACGAAGCCAAGAGAGAAAGAATTCGAGTCGGATCAAGTTGAAGTCCTAAACCGAAAGCTCTCCTCCCTTATCCCTGGCTGTAGCCCCAATTACCTACGATTTAGTAGCAACTGCCCCCTGATTCATAGGTAGAACTCATAAAAGTTGCGGGTAACTGAGATGATCTAAAACTGAAACCATGGACCCCTAGTATGGGCCCTTAACCCTGGGATCCCTTTGTACCTACTATATACCCTACATGTACTCTTAGGGTCCCTAGAACCCCCCTGAAAGGCCTTGGGGCCCAAATTAGGGGCCTACCCAGACCCCTGGGAGGATCTAAAAATAAATGAGATCCCCTAAATAGACCCATTACAACCCCTATACAATCCTCATATAAATCCCCTTATGGTTCTAGGGGACCCTAAACCCTAAACCCTAATCTTCTAATTTTTAGATCCTTTTGGGGGTCTGGGTATACTTCTAACCCTAGAGGTGACAGGTGAACCCTAAGCTCTCCGGCCTTTTCCCGGAGCCGGTTTGATCCCTGAACCTTGGCCCACCAAGGCCTAAACCCTAAACGCGGTTTAGGGTTGAGGTTTTTCGGGTTTTAGGGCTTAGGGTTTTTAGGGTTTAGTTTTTAGGGTTTAGGGTTTAGTATTTAGGGTTTAGGGTTTTAGTTTTTAGGGTTTAGGATTTAGTTTTAGGGTTTAGGGTTTAGCGTTTAGGGGATAGTAGTTTCCATTTTGTTTTCCATGATCCCGATATATCTCTTGAAATAGCCCCACAATCCCAATTAGCCCTAAACTTTTTTGGGGATTCCCGGCCGAGGATAAGCTTCTTCGCAAGGTTTGGCTTGCATCTCCGACTGGACATGGGGAGTCTGTTGTTTGAGGGCTTGGGGCTTACTGTAGAGGCCGTTGTGTTTATTTGCCCAAAATTACGAAATTGTGGGTCTAGATTCCTTTCATAACTGAAGTGTGCCGCAAGCGTTCCCTCCCTTCAACCGGTTCCGCTGTTATGGACTTCCTGCAGCCATAGGGGTACCAAAGCCCCAAACCCTAAAGTCTAAGCTGCCATGAGTCTTGCCAAGTAGCGGAGCGGGGTGATGGCTCGTTCATTGTAGCGCCTCTAGTGAGTCCTTCCCGAGGAAGTACCTGAGCATGATCTTAAGTTTATGCGTGCCTGCGCTCAGCTCTCAAGTTGAAACAGGCAGTATGCCATACTCAAGTACCCATGCAAAACACCCCCAGACCAAAGCTTTGTCTTGCTTGAACACTTCTTAGTCTTGAGTCCTTCCCAACCTCCCCAAAGTTGTAGGGAAGGGGGAAGAAAGCATCCTGGGTCTAGGGCCCTAGGGACCGTATGGGTACCGCAACCCCTTGGCTCAGGATTCTGCGCTAAGTCTGCCGATAGACTTCCCCACGTCACCGTAGGAAAGCATGTTCGTCTGCGTGTGCGTGCGGCTGTTTGTGTGTGTCCCTGTGATTGTGTGTGTAGCGCTGAGCGCGGTGTCTTGCAGCAAGAGCTGTTGATCTAATTGAGTTTGCAACGGCCTCATCTTGCATGGGAATTCGCGGAGCACGGTTATTCTAAACCTTAAACTTGAACCCAAGAAATATGGTGAATTGCTGTCCACTCGGCCTGTGTCCAAAAAACCAGGGTCCTTGCTGGAGGTTGCTATGGTAAGGATTGCGCAGTTCAGCGTTTTTGGGGGTAGAGCTTATAGGGTTGAGGGTTGGGTGTTGGGGGTTCAAATTCTTTGAAAGTATCCATGTGGCTATAGGTGGTTGGTTTGGGTTTTTGGAGAGTGGTTCCAGCTTCTTCCATGAAAGCTGTTAGCCCTTAAGTTCCAAACTTGAAACCCCCACTCTAATCCTAAACCCTAAACCCTTAACCCTTAAACCCTAATCCCTGAGCCATGGAGGCGCCTTTAAAACCCACAGACACGCACATTGACACTCATTCTCCCTAACTAAACCCTAAACACTGAACGCAACACTTGCAACACCACCACCCGGACTGGTGGGTTGAGTGTTGCAACCTCAGTCAAAAAAGCCCCGGAGGTCTGTGGGTATTTCCTAAAATTAGGGGTACCATTTTGGGTGTCCCAATAAGAAGGATTATTGTATTTTGGGACTTCATTGGGGTTCCCGTATTTTGGGAATGGGAAAGTACCATGTATGGTTCGCGAAGAATCTGGGTTGCTGCGACGGAGCGTTAATTACCTTACAGTTCAGGGTTTAGGGTTCGCACTACCTGAACCCCAAAACTAAGTAACAGTGGCCCAAAAGCTCCAGACATCGCCAAACCGGCTGTAATAATTTATCTGTACTCTTTCGTTTAGGTAGTACGTAAGCCCGAAACGCCTAGACGCTTTTTCCCTCTCCTTTTTTTTGATGCCTATCTTCATGTCTCGTATCTTCTCTGTACAATTTTTTGTAGCCAAAAAAGTGTGCGGGGTTCTAAGTAGCATGCCGAGGCTCTGTGGTTGGGAGTTTCAGGAACTAAGGTGTAGCATAAAGTTTAGGGTTTAGGGTGTAGGCTTTGGAGTTTAGGGATTACTGGGTCTAGGGATCCGGGTTGGAGTTTCGGATCTGCAGATCAAGCTTCAATGTTTAGGCGTTAGTTCTGCGTGCTTATGTTCAAAAGTTGCCCTTCCCCTAGAGGACATGGCTCCCATACTGGCTACGGTTACAAGTAACAGAAGGCTTTGTCGGGACTCCTGTTCAGGCCCCATGCTTGTTCGTGGATAGTGGGGGTTGAGGGAGTGCGCTTTCAATGCTGGGGACTCAGGAGTTGTGACTGTTTCTGTTGACTCTCCCTGGCAGGGGGCATATAGGGAGTCGTGAGCAAGGGCCTGTTCCGCGGGATTCCGGAATGCAACTAGGATACTCACGTGGGAGTTTCTCAATATGATCCGTATATAATCGCTGATACCAACCCCCTATAGTCCTTTCATAGCCCTCACATATCTCGAGGGTCCCTGACGTACCCCTATTCTGAGAGACGCCCACATATGTTCAACATCTGGATTTTCGAGCCAGCTGAGGCAGGTTGTACAGGAGATGAAAGACTGCGCCTTCACAAAGATTGAAGATGAGACTGTTGCTTGGACCGCCTGGGATTTCGGGTTTAGTGTGACGCATCAAGTTTTTTAAGCCATACTTTGGCAATTAAATATTGTTTGTTTGGGGGCATTGCTTGGTACAGGTAGGGTAGAATGAATTGTGGTTACGCTGGAGATGGCTGAGATTGCCATAATTCAAGTTCGACCACTCTTTCCCACACGATGCTATCCCTCAGCCCAACTTGCCCAACATCCTAAACCCAACCTAGATTCAAAACCCTAAAGCCCTCATCCGTCTGCTAGATCATGTCTTCAGGGTGGAGCTTAGACCTCCCAGGGCGAAGGAATTTTCCAATAGGGAATTTCAGAAAATCTACGAATTCTTTTTTGGAGGTTGGGGGCGGTGCCATTGGGATGGTATCTGACTATTGGGGTTGCAGGGGCTGTATAGGCTTAAGAAGAGTTTAGGATGTAGGGTCTCCAAAGATTAGAGGCCCTTTTGTTGGAAGTCCTTATAAATGGGATAGAATTTTGGAATACGCGTGCCTACAGCGGCCCTTAATTCTTGAAAGCCACTCATGAGGATCTTCATAGCTGCATCTCCAGCATGTTTTGACAGTGCTGAATGTCCCGAAATTTGGATCCCTCATGTGCCTTTGGTTCCGTACAGAACTAGAAAGGGACTACCCATGTGATCGGCAGCTAAGGGCAAACAGCTGTGTGCCTGGGGCGTCATATACGCCATCGACAATTTCGGCTGGGCCGTTGAGTACATCTTGCAGAGCATCAACGATTGCAAAGAGGAAGGCAATGTCGATGTTTCTGGATGCATTATGTAGACTCTCTAGCTACCCTTTATTGCGGCCGACGTACGCGCAATTCGGGGCTATATATTCCAAAAAAGGGGTACTAGAAGGGTCTTGCTAAGGACAGAATGCTGTCATTTTTTCATGGAACCCCTGGATGCACGGATGTCCATGGGCTGAAAGTTTCTGATCTCTGAATCCCGCACATCTTCACCCACATCAACGATTGCTGAATCAGATTCCTTGGTCACACCCAGAATCATGATCCCGGGTCCTTAAGCCTCACCCTAAGGGTCCAAGGACTCAAATAATAGGGATTTAGAGCCCGCATACCATTAAAATTATAGTGCTTAGGCCCTAAAAGCCCCATGATTTGGGTCCTTGG